AGAGCTATGAAGCGATGCCCACCTCGCGCCTTTGCGCACCGTGGGGAGGCCAAATATGAGTATATTCCACTAAGGTGGGACGCACTTCCGCTACCCACTGACAAATATTCTACCAAAGATTTTCAAAATTAGAAATTTGTGTTCTCTGGTTCGGCCCTTATAACTTTGTAAGGTCCATAAGGTAGTACAATGGCGCCTCGCAAGCACCAAACGCACGTACACAAGCAATAGGATAAATCACTGAAATATTTTCCCGTTCCAATAATTACATAATGATTATGCCCGATTGAGAGGAAGCTGAGCATGCAATGACCAAGGTCGATATATTCGGAACCAAACGCAAGCGTGCTAGGCTTATTAGGGAGGAAGGTGTACGCAGAAGTGCCACCGCTGCAAACCGCGACCCCCAAGTGCCACGCCGCCCCCAAAGGCAGCACACTGTAGAACCTACCACTGTAGAACCTACCATTGCAGAAGAGGACATTTATCAAGAAGATGCGCCAACGGACTTCGGCTGGATACCGGATGATCACCCGCATGTGGGACAGGCTGACATTGAAGGGACAGCTGCGGCTGATCATGGGGCATGTGATTCAGACGATTGCAACGAGGACAGCGAGGATGCTGACGAATCAGATGGCGCTGGCGGAGCGGGCACCTCTTACGGACTCGCGTTCGACCCCCAACTCGCTAATCTGTACTTCCATCATCTTCCCAATGCGAGTGCAACCCGTGCAGCTCTGCTGGCGGCGACACATTCTGCACTGCAGAGCGCCGTGGAGCGGTGCAGCGATGAGGCCGCCTGTCCCCGCTGTGGTTCCGCAGGATGTCGTGGTGGCCTTTCTCCTATCCCTGTCACAGTCGTCTGCTGGGACAAACCCATGGCGATCAGCCTTCCCCAGCTGACCTGCATGCACTGCCGTGCACCTTTCACCATTCGGCCAACGGCTGTCGACTGCCTGCCGGATACAGTATCCTCATGGGACCCTTGGCGCCGACATGACAGTCATAACATCCTGTGGTGGCAGGCCATGCTCGTACAGCAAGTCGATTACCTCAGCTTCTTCACTCGGCATCTAAGCCTTGACAGGTTCAGTGCAGCGATGCTGGCCAACTGGGAGCACAATGACGCGACTCCCTCTGGGCCAGCAGCGACTTCTTTTACAGTAGACGCGCTCAGGCAGAGACTGCGAAAGGCATTGATGGCATACCAGTACTTGCAGGGCTTGGTAGAGGACTATCCTGAAGGTTTACCTGGGTGGCCATCTGGCACAACGAACCCAGCGGCAGCAGCAGCAGTGCAGGCGACGGCGGTGGAGGCAGCGGTGGCAGCCAGGGCGGTAGCAAATCCGGTGGCGGCACGAATGGGTGCTGGCGGTCCAGCAGCGCCTCCTCCGGTTGAGACCGGCACAACGAACCCAGCGGCAGCAGCAGCAGTGCAGGCGACGGCGGTGGAGGCAGCGGCGGCAGCCAGGGCGGTAGCAAATCCGGTGGCGGCACGAATGGGTGCTGGCGGTCCAGCAGCGCCTCCTCCGGTTGAGACCGTCACAACGAACCCAGCGGCAGCAGCAGCAGTGCAGGCGACGGCGGTGGAGGCAGCGGCGGCAGCCAGGGCGGTAGCAAATCCGGTGGCGGCACGAATGGGTGCTGGCGGTCCAGCAGCGCCTCCTCCGGTTGAGACCGTCACAACGAACCCAGCGGCAGCAGCAGCAGTGCAGGCGACGGCGGTGGAGGCAGCGGCGGCAGCCAGGGCGGTAGCAAATCCGGTGGCGGCACGAATGGGTGCTGGCGGTCCAGCAGCGCCTCCTCCGGTTGAGACCGTCACAACGAACCCAGCGGCAGCAGCAGCAGTGCAGGCGACGGCGGTGGAGGCAGCGGCGGCAGCCAGGGCGGTAGCAGGTGATGGAGGCAGAAGCACTGTTTGGGGTTTAACACTGCAAGGGGGAGTCCAGGAGTGTGGGCCAGGGCCTTCATCGTTGCACTCAGTGCACTTTGACTGCAACTTTAAGCTAAATCTCCTGAGACGAAAGCGTTACACCAGAGATTACTGCCAGATTCCTCGCCGTCGCTTTACAATCGTCAACGCAGTACTCGAAGCAGTAGACCACAGGGGTGCAGCATCAGCAGACATTGGCAGCAATGACAATTGCTCAACATTTCATGCTGACAGGGTCCTGGCGGCAGAGTCTGAGAAGGTGCGCTGATCATGCATATCGTTGCAGCGTCATGCTTTTCTGTTGATGGTATGTCACACCCTCCCTTGTACAGAACCTCGTGACGGCGGCTGGTGTGGCGCTTTGCCGGCATGGCATGCTGCTGAGGCTGCTGAGCCTCTTTACTGGAGAACGACATTTGTACTCCACGGCCGCAATCCAGTCCCTACTTGCAGTTGGCACAGGTGTACAGTTTTGGTGGTACGACATCGCTTGCAAGTCCTTTGGCAAGTGGCTTGCGCAGCAAGAGAATAGCAGGCTACACTCCCTGGCGGCCTCAATGGTCAGCCTGATCCCACCTTGGCATGTGTATGCCCACAGGTACGGGTATTGCCGTTTATGTGTTGGTGCTTGTTGAGTTTAGTGTTATCCTAAAAATGTACCTCTGATTTGCAGCTTCACGTGCCAGAAGTCCTTCGGTCACTTGTATACAGTTGGGGCGGGGAGGGGCACTGGAGAGCCGGCAGAGATCTGGAACAGTGTGGCTGGCCCTCATGGTGCTGTTACTCGGTACATGAACCCACTCCACCGGGAAGCGCATTTGGAGCGGGTGGGGCGTCACTACAACAAGCAGGTCATTCTGGGTCTGCCATTCCGCATGTGGCGAATGCGTGTTCGGGCACGAGCTGCCCAGAAGGCCGCGACGGACCGTATTAGCATTCTGGAGAAGTGTGTTCCAGAGGTGAGAGTCAGTACTGTTACACTGTATCTAGGTATACCCCTGACATGCTCGTACTTGTGCAGGCACGGCAAGAGGTCAGGCGCCTCCTGGAAAAAATCTGGTCATAAACATGTACTTGGTCTGGATGCTAGGTGCTTTGTGTGTGTCGCTGGGTGGGCTCGAAGGCTTGGTAGGAGGCGACCACTGGGTCAGCGGAACTCCAGATCTCGACGCGCTCTTTTGCATACGGGCTTTTATTACCATAACTAGGCCATGTGCAAAAAATCTGGTCATAAACACGTACTTGGTCTGGATGCTAGGTGCTTTGTGTGTGTCGCTGGGTGGGCTCGAAGGCTTGGTAGGAGGCGACCACTGGGTCAGCGGAACTCCAGATCTCGACGCGCTCTTTTGCATACGGGCTTTTATTACCATAACTAGGCCATGTGCAAAAAATCTGGTCATAAACACGTACTTGGTCTGGATGCTAGGTGCTTTGTGTGTGTCACTGGGTGGGCTCGAAGGCATGGTAGGAGGCGACCACTGGGTCAGCCAAAATTCACACGGCTTACTTTGTCACTAACATACCATGTATATTGTGCGTTGTCGTTTCAGAGTGCTGTGCTGGACTTCTGCAGCCTAGAGCAAGTGGTCCAGCATCTTCGCAGCAGACGGAAGGAGCAAGGCTTGGCAAAAGCAGAGAAACGCAAGACCCGGGCTAGGCTACTGGTCCTTTGGAAGGAACTCCAGGAGTGGTGCAGCTTGCCAGAGACCAAAGATACGACGACGGAGCATAGCAGCCTGGGCAAGGCTGTTCGGGATGGGTGGTCTTTTGACAGGGTGCTAAGACACGAGTTTCCATGGGGTGAGGGGGCAGCCTCCCGCTGGAAGGAAGAGGGGCAAGGGGGACGGACTCACATTGTAGGGTCACTTTATCGCAGTTATCTTGAGAAGCTGCGGTGTGAGGAGGAGCTTCAACTGATTGACAGGGAGACCGTGAGGGCAGTCGAGTACTATGGCAGGCGAATTGCTTTGCTGCAAGCTGCCAAGATTTCCTTCATACGGTTGCCCTGCTTAGCCCGCCTCTCACGTGCGACTGGTGCTGTTTCCTGCCCCAGCACATCCCCTGTGATGCCTCGACGACCACCCACACTTGGGTCCGCCCCGTCCCAGAAACTCACGAACTTGCTGGGGAATACAACGCAATTATATAAATTACAGAGCCCTCGCCTACACCCAGGGCTCCGCATTCTGA